CTACTGAAGTAGCATTATAATAACGATATGCATGTTTACCTACTCGGAAGGGTAGTAAAAGCCCATCTTTTCGTGAACACCTGGTGTCATCTTTAGTTCACAGTGTCATAGAGACATACTCGTTTATAGTTGTGCGTTGTTGTGGCAGAATAGTACTGGACCTCCGTTACACAAGACCATGTTATATATCTGAAGACACATCTGAAACAGAATGTACAGGTTACGATGATTTAGGGGTGTCAGGGAGGGGACTGACTAAAGACCACATTGAAGTTAATGTTTTGCATTGGCGGAGCCGAGGGGAGGTTCAGGGGGTTGCTCCACCAACTGTCCCCTACCCCAATTTTGAGAATTCCTGGATCCGCCTATGGAGTTGACTGTTGGATAGCCTAGTGGAGAGTTTCACTCTAAATCTGCATAATCTTTTATTTATTACACTAAAGTTTCTCCTAACGCTCTTGTGGCATAAGCACTGGGATACTTCAAATGTAAAACTATCAACCCCGAACAAATTCACAATCATCTTAGCGACCATGGCCTGACAAGGCAAAAAGTATTTTTTCGAAGTAAATCAATGAGTGGATTGAGATAGAGACCAAATGCACGTTCAATTCCCAAGCGTAAAAAACCCCGTGTTTTCACAACTTCATAGATGTTTTGACAAGACAGCCATGTGGCGTGATGAAAAGAGAAGATGCACATTTGAAGTCAGAATCTTACCATGTTCACGGTTCCCAGGACGGGTTTACGTTCTCATACGATCAAGAAACAGAGAAGTAACGTTATAATTATGATACCACTCATTGAGAACATCTTGGATGATGTAAAAAGCGAACAGAAATGAAATTCCATGTTTCAACTCCTTCGAATTACAAATACTATCCATAAAGCAAACCCATGAAAAATACCAATTAACTAAAACTTTCCTGTTCAACAAATCGTATTTGAATAAACATGTTATTGCTATTGCAAAAAGATTTTCTTTAGTTCAAATTAAACATCAAAATAAATGTTTCTTCAAAAATAAAAATTAAGGCTGACTGTCAAATAACAAGATTGATTTTCACTAAACTATAATAGTTTATTGGCAATGTATTTGTAAATTGTGAAACGAATGTCATAAATGTGTTATTTCCTTCTAATAACATCGTCATTAAATACAAAATAAAATAAATGATTTAGTTTATTGCGCGAATGACGCAGGTGTTGTGTGTTTATAAAGCATCGTACTGGCAAGATGCATACAACATAAATATTATTCACATTAATTCACAAACTGACTGACTGACTGAGTTTAGTTTTACGCCGCTTTTAGCAATATTCCAGCAATATCACGGCGGGGGGACACCAGAAATGGGCTTAACACATTGTGCCCATGTGGGGAATCGAACCCGGGTCTTCGGCGTGACGAGCCAACGCTTTAACCACTAGGCTACCCCACCGCCCCTAATTCACAAACGAACAACATGGAAGTATTACCAGTCTCAAATATCTGCTGGAAAAGACGTGACGTAAAAAAGTCCTAAAACCGTGTTATTCTTTGTAATCAGACACATAGAGACGTTAATTCAAGACCTGAATTTTATCATTCATAGTTTTAATTTAAAAATGGTATCACCTAAATCATTGTTTTAAGCCACTTCTCTTTTAAGATTCTTAAAAGCTCAAGTTGTCTGTAAAATTAAGTATTTGAAAAACCATACATATATTCACAATCAAATGATTTGGGTATTTTATACTTGACACGACACCATCTCGGATTGGAATCAGCTACAATTTGGATGAGAAAACATACTGGAAGCATCTTTTAATAGTGTAAAAGACAGCAGAATTGCTGAATGCATTAAACAGACAAAGGAGATAGATTTTCAGTGCACTGTGGACATATATGTATATTGGAACAATTAGGTCGTTTGAATGTATTAAGTTCGAAAGAAACGTATTGAAATGTGAAATTTCTATGACAATAGTGAAAAGGCCAAACGTTTCCGCAAAAGTACTAAATGAATTGTACAACCTTCAAATAAACAGTTTTGTACCCATAAGAAAAGGTGAGCTACAGTACCTAAAGCTAACACTAACTTGACATGCCAGTATGGCTACAGCAGATAGTGCACCAATATTAAGGGGAAACCTCCTATTACAACTGAAATTGGCATTCGGAGTAAAAGCAAATACCTATCTTATAAGATGAAGTATTGTTCAATTAAACCAAATTAGTCCTAATTTGCACAGTTGTGAAAACAGTAGTCGTAACAAATTTGTGTTTCAATGCAAACGGGATCTTGTCGTCTTTGGTAAATACTCTCCATGTAGTGTTCCATTAATCCTAACGTGGTTAGATTATTTTCATGCGGAAACAGTCCTGTGAGGGGTTAAAGGACACTTTTCTAATCCGCGTTCAAGTATTTTCCTTGATCACTGTCAAGCAAATGCTTGTAATGCGCATTTACTTTTGTAAAAGACGTCCCTTTCTGCACATATTGAGTTCAAAGTATTCATTAAGGAAATATTTGCTTAATAGAAGAAATCGAAAGTGTACCACATCACAGATATGTTAGCATTTCAACAAGTGTCAAAAGGAAAAGGTTGAAAGCCAGTACTCTAAGTGGTATGAAGGAAGAGTGGGAACGTGTTTTCACGACCAGGTGTTCTCCCTGTTTCGAATCGAATCACTGAATATCACCATGGGCATTCTCGTCTTAACCTTACAGAGATACTACTTGGGCCTCTAACCATACGATGTCAGTTGTGGTTTTAATTGCGGTTTGAACAGAGAGGATCCTGGGAAAACGACGAACCGAAAATTTCGGTAACGTTTAAACTTTTCTGTTTGTATTCTGCTGAACCGTTCGTGTGAGTTCTTTAGTACGGCGGGTCCACAACTATTGCAACTGAAGGACTTAGTAGTCTATCAGTCGTCAAGTATGAATAACTTGACGGTCAATGCCGGGTACCGGAGAGTGGACGCAGTGAGTACCTAACGCCCATTGTATTTTTTGTCAGAATGCTCACGCTTTTCATCACTTGATTGTCTGGTCGAGACTCGGTTATTTACAGACCGCCGCCGTATAGCTGGAATATTGCTGAGTGCGGCGTTAAACAACAACCAAACCAAACCAATCAGAAATGCATGTTGTATTTTGCAGTTCTCATGGGTTCTCTGAAACGGAACTGATTTAGGTTCCCTTCATCAAGTATACATTGACATTAACAGCCACATTTTAATACTGACTTATTATAGACTTAGCGCTAACTTTGCTTAATGAACCCTGACCTACGTTTTACCAACACAGTGAAGTTCCATTATTTCTTGCCTTGTTTTGTTTACATGACATTTCGTACTTTAAAAGAACCAGCCCCGTGTTCAGCCACAATACTTTGGCAAGGCATCGTAGTCAGAAGGGGCTCAGGACCTGACATTGATGTTCTAAAAAAACACTTAGTTCAATTTCCCCTGGAATAGTGCATGTTGGTTCCTGAAAGGCCCGCGCCGACCAGTTTGCTTCTGGAAGTGCTGTGAAGACCTATCGCGTGGTGAGCTCAGCATGAGTTATCAAATAACGCCGCAATATTCCATCTATATGGCGCCCGTCTATAAATAATCGAGCCTGGACCAGACAGTCCAGTGATCAACAGTATGAGCATCGATCTACACAACTGGGATACGATGACATGAGTCAACCAAGTCATCGAGCCTGGCCACCCGATCCTGTTAGTCGATTCTTACGACAAGCATGGGTTGCTGGAGGCCAATTTTAACCCGTATCTTCACGGGTCTATCTGGACTGACCAGCAGTTGAAAATGCGCCAGATTCTTGCTTCTGAGATAAAGACATATGACATAACCACATGGACATTTTGCCATGGACTAAAATGCCATGAACATTAGGGCTACGGTGACTATTATTATATTGTTTATGATGACCTGGCTCCAGGCCACCTTTAGACACAGAGGACCATGATATCAGTCAGATTATATTGGGGTTGTTAATTCTCCAGATTGTATGTTTTTTTGACTGTTTCGTTTCAATCTGAATCTATTTTGGCGGTATTTACATGCAGTGACACTTAAAGCGGTTGAATCTGAAGCCGGAAAATATGTTATGATCGCGAGTGAGTTATTAGGAAAGACATGATGTTGCGTGTGAAATTAGTTCCTTCTCAGTAACTGAACATGTTCTTGCAGTGTACTTCCTTGAATTAATCGAATATCCCAACTGCTCTGAAATGCCACTTTAAAACAGATTCGAAATCCGGGATCTCTTTCATTATGATTGAATATAAATTCTGTACCAACGATTGCTAAGGTTAGATCTTAGTCACTTCCCGCACACAGAAATATTTTACAACTGTATTAAGTCTCTTGAAAAATTGTTTATAAATACATTTGAAACGTATATCGCATGTCCCGATTTCTCAGTATCGCCATTTTGAATTTTTTAATACGTCATTTGCATACAGACTTGTCCAAACATTCACAAACTGTACCACGCAGTATTCTGAAATTGCACTAGGATAACAATTGAATTGCATGTTTTGTACACAAATTCAACAGAACCATATGGCAGAACGCCAACCGCTGGACGCGACGTCACCAATCTACTGAAATTAAATGTACCAAGTGAGGCGTAGCGCCTGTACACACACAGAGGACATTGAAATGTTAACAGCGGTGTAGAAGTAACCTTTTAACACGCTAGTAAGAAGGCCTGACCTACATCCGGGCTTTTCCCTTAAAGCACCGCCATCTCCTGATCATTAGCTGAGTGGCCGCACGTACCCCTGCTAAAAATAAATATTCCACTAGCCTAAACCCAAATTCATCGATTTAGCAAACAGTCGGTGAACAGCGCGTTGTTACATCGAGGCCACAATGCTTTCTCCAGTCACTTAGGGTAACACAAAAAGCTTACAGATAAGATATAATATTGACATGTAATTTGCAATTTAGGCCACGCCCACAGATGTGCGGGTGCCAGAACGTATCTTTTCTTCGATATGTGACGTCACTTCCTACAGCGGAACTGTCAATATTACCGCCATGGCAGTGAGCGGAGTCGAAGCAGACGAGAACTTTGACATATTTTCATGCACTTTTGTATTGATGGACGAAGTAAACTGGTAAACCTACATAATGAGGGGATCGGTAAGTTCATTTGTGTGACTCCATGAATGTATTTCGAGACTTTAGCGAGCCAGTTAGCTGCGATCACAGGCTATCGAGAAACAATGCTCGGACCGAGTCCCACTGAATGTAAACTCGGGGCGGTCGTTTTGCGGCAGACTTAATACAACGCTTGACGACCGGTGTACGATTCTATTGAAACTACTTGGGGTTTGGCGAGCTGTTGTAATGTGTCGTGGGATAAGAGGCGCTCGGTTTTCTAGACTCCCTCCGCTGTGTGTTCACCATATGAATGCTATTTGCATGTTTCTGGTTCACAAAGCGTGTAGGTAGAGTTGTGTATCGTCGCGGGGTCACGTGGATCGGTACTCGTTCTGAGAGGTAATAAACCCGCTTATTCACCATATTTAGTTATATGATTCAGTGTAACTAATCACGATATATTATTAATTGTTCATCCAGGTTATGAACCTACTTCCTGTATTTACCTGTGTAATTAATAATGAAATCGACAAATATTGAATTTTCTGTGTGAAGTGACATGACATACCCAGATATGAATGAAATATTAATTCCAGCTGAAATATTTTTTATAACTTGCTGAGTTGCAGATTTATTAGTATATTTTTACAGTTTTGTTTTATTTTTGATTGTGATGCTTTAAGGAAGTGTGACAGAATTCATGATATTAATAATAATAATAAATGGATATTTCTTATGCACCATAGTCCATAAATCAGAACACTGCCATTTTATCATAACAAAGCAACACTTGTAAAATATTTTTAAAATGACTGAAAAGATATTTTTCTTAAATTGTCTGACTTTTTATCTTGTGTTGTAGTTGTGCATAGTACTGTGGGCATGTTGATGCTGTGGGACAATGCTTATATTTCTGAAATAAGTTTTTGCGATGTTGACATGAGATGCCTTAATTTAATGTGTTATTTTTACATTATAATTTATAATTATAATAACATACTATGAGCTTATATTAAGCAAATCATATATTTTGTTATCAATAATAAGAATATTTTTGTTTGAAATAAGATAATTAAATGGACATTATGTCTGCTGTTTTAATGTGGGATAGCAAATGAACTATTGTTGTAATCATGATTATGAAAGGTGTGTTCTGAAATTCTGTCTGGTCCAGCCTTGATTATTTTCAGACCGCTGTGATATTGCTGGATTATTATTGCTGACTGTCATTGAACAACAAACAGTTCCTGGTGTGTCTGGTCCTGTCTGGGTCCTGATCCACAAAGTGTTCGTAATGTTACGAGCTCTCGTAACTATATGGTTTCCCGTAGGCTTACGAATGACGTAGTGCTACAAAGGCTTTGTGGATCAGGCCCCTGGTCGGTTTCAGGTGTCTTTATCAGGGTTTTACATGACTCGTAATTTCTGTGTATTTGACTAAAAAAATTGGTAAAATATATCTATTTACATAGCTGATGCAATATTTATTCAAGTTAGTGTAATCTGAATCCCAATAACTCCACTAAGTATGTAAGATTACTAACAACAGAGGAAAATATCACAAAATATTAATTCACAGTTCTTGCTTAGTTTAGAATTATTTCTTTGACAAAATATTTTGGTGATGCACAAAATGACTTCCCAAACCATTTACTCCGAGTCACCATGACTTTCAAAGTCTATTTAAAAATCTGGATGATGTGACTGGAATGTTGCTGACTTCTATGAGTATGACATTACACTGATTCATCGACAGGGGCAGAAGGATAGCCTTGTGGTTGAAAGTGTTCGCTTGTCTCAGTGAAGGCCAGGGTTTGATTCCCCACATGGTTGCAATATGTTCTGTCTATTTCTGGTGTATGCTGCTGAGATTTGTTGCTGGAATCCTGCAAAAGTGGGTCACTCCCATTTACTGTCAAACTGATTTGTTGAACCCATTTAAGAATTATATTAATAGTCAGTTCTGTCTTACCGCAAGAGGTATGAATAGTGAATTTGAATGAGTTCATGGTGGTTCAAAGATTGAATTGTTTCTAGCGTACTTGTCATAAGATTTGAAAACATTCTCGTTTTGATTATAAATGAGGATCAAGTGGTTTGAGATTGTCATCATGACAATGCAAGGGGCGGTGGGGTAGCCTAGTGGTTAAAGCGTTGGCTCATCACGACGAAGACTGGGGTTCAATTCCCCACCTGGGTGCAATGTGTGAAGCCCATTTCTCACTCACTCATGACAATGCAGCTTTGATTGGTGCTTGTACAGTTAACTGGTTTGCATTATCTGAATTATCTGTCAGCTTTCACAAACATGTCCAAAAAACTGAGTATATTTTTTTATGCATTTAAGAAATATTCCATTTCTTATCATGGCAGGTGAAAACAATTCTGCCTACCTTGGGAATTGAACAATGACTTTAACCACAAGGTTATCCTGATCCCCAGTGTGGTTGGTAGGTTTGTTGTTTAACGCCACATTCGGCAATATTCCAGCTGTATGGTGGCGGTCTGTAAATAATCGAATCAGGACCATACAATTCAGCAGGGCTCCAGATAATTTTTCAACTTCAGGAGTACGTACTCCTTATTTTTTCAATATAGGAGTACTGGATAAACTTAAGAGTACACTTTGAGTACTGAATGGAATTTAATGGCGTATCAGTAATCTTGTGTTTCGTTTCATATATGCACCACAACATTGCTAGTCTTGTGTAAACAGGTCAATAAACAATAAAACAACACTCTATCAGATAAATATGTCTGTAAATGATTCCAAGACCGTACAGCATTGCTGTGGTGTGTATGTGCTACGTTTTCTAAATTATTTCCTACCATATTGTGCATATATTTTACCCGTACAAACGCCGATTCGGCCCTTATCTGGAGCCCTGAATTCAGTGTATCAACGGCATGAGCATCGATCTACGCAATTTGGATATGATGACGTGTGCCAACCATGTCAGCGAGCCTGACAACCCGATCCCGTTAGTCACCTCTTGCATAGGTTGCTGAAGATCAATTCTAACCCGGATCTTCACAGGTGTGAAAAAAACCAGTACGTGGCAGGACTGTGGTTACAGTGGATCTGTTTAGCATTTTTGGTTGACAGATCTATAAAATTTGAACTGATGTTGACCCACAAATGCAAAGTGTTATTCTACTCTAAGTGTATAACTACTGTTCCCACTCAAGGGCAGTAGGGTACCCTGTTGACTAAAGTGTGTGCTCGTCACACTGAAGACCTGGCTTTGATTCCCTATGTTGATACAACCCGTGAAGGTCCCGGGTTGAATGAAGCTTCAGTAACTCATGCTTGTCGTAAGAGGCGACTAACAGGATTGGGTGGTCAGGCTCGCTGACTTGGTTGACACATGTCATCGGTTCCCAATGGGCAGATCGATGCTCATGCTGTTGATCACTGGATTGTCTGGTCCAGACTCGATTATTTCCAGACCGCCGCCATATAGCTGGAATATTGCTGAGTGCGGCATAAAACTTAACTCACTCACTTTGTTGATACAATGTAGGAAGCCTATTTCTGGTGTCCCCCATCTTGATATTCCTGAAATATTGCCATAAGCTGTGTAAAACTATATTCACTCATTCACTCACTGTTCCAGAACATGAGAAAAATATTTCTGCCGTGCTGGTTGTCCTTTGTTAAGTTGCATCAATCATCTGATGCTCTTCAAATTAAACCGATCAGAAAAATTGATTGTCGGTCATCTTCATCAAATTATAAAGGACACTGCCACAACAACCTATACAAATTGACAAAATCACGAACATTTCTAAGTTTCTGTTTAAATCACTGTTACTGCCATCACTGACTGATGAATTATCAGCCCAAAGTTTTAGTGCAAATAGACCATTTAAAAAAAAAATACTGGGCAAGTGACAAAACTGAAATTATTTATCATAGTTACAATGGAAAAAAGTCAGATTTTGGTACAGAGAAAGTTTTGGGGCATGGAAACCATATATGTTACATTGTTAAGAAGTCAATATGTTTTTTGTGTGAAAATTATCTAAAAGGGAGCACAGTGGATTTGCCGCTTTTGTACCATGTATTATGTTTATGTATTTTAGTTTTTGATGCATATGCATTCAATTGAAATAAGTGGCACGGATGGCCAACAATGTGCTTTGTGTCCCCAGGACCTGACAGAAACTATGAGGGGTCCAAACTCGGTTTAACCTTGTGTTTTAGTTTTGTCAGCATGAGACCCGTGCTCATGGGTTTCACCAAAGTGGTAACAAAATGTTCTAAATGACCTGCTTCACTTCGATCTGTTCTTGCACATTAGGCTGAAGTGACTTGAAAACACTGGAATCCTGTTCAAAGGAGCTTTAGGCCTAAAAAAAACATGTTGTGGTTCCGATTACCCAACCGACCCTTGAATTTTGGTGCCGACCCTATGTTTTTAAGTGGTATGAATAAAATATGCTTTCAGGTACCATCGTTTTTTCAAGGCACCAACTGACATCGGTCATTCTGATCAGGGTTTTACATGACGCGTGATTTCTGCATATTTGACGCAACAATTTGCAAACGACTCAAAATATTATCATACGAGTCAAGCTTGACGCAAGTTTTATGGGTGGCCCTCACAATTCAGGTCAATAAAATCGATTTGATAAGCCAAAAAGATATTGTTCGATGATAGTTTGACTTTTACAGAGCAGTCAGATTGTTCCAAAGTACTCAGAGGAGACAGTAATCCTGGCTGTTTGAATTGAACAATGCTGTAGTTTCATTTGGGGGTGTGACATACACAGTTACATACTGATTAACATAAAGAAATATTAAAATTTTCATGACTCCCAAATATTGACAATGACTCCCAAAAATAAATATTGTGAGTCACCATGACTCCCATTTTTAAAAGTCTGTGTAAAACCCTGTCTGATAGAGAAAGTCAACATGATTGCTGCAAGATTGATTGAAAAAACAACTGCACATTGATAAATGTGTTATTAGCTTGTAGTTTTCTTCTAAAAAAATGTAAAAAACAAAATCGTATCTACCTACCCTAAATTTT